CTCCCGGCTGAGGCGGCCGCAGCCCCGCGGTGCGCACCGCGGTCGCCCGGCCCCATCCCGGGTGCAGCAGCGCCCATTCCTCCTCTGCGTCCGCCGCCTCCTCCCTCCAGCCGGCCTCAGCGGCCCTGGCGCGGGGGTGGGTGCGGAGTAGGCAGCCGGGAGGTGTATTTTCGGGTGCCCTCCCCCTAACCCCCGCGGGTGGGACGCGGGGGCGGCGGTGACAGGGCCGGGCGCTGAGCGTAACGGTACCGGGATGCGGCCAGGCGTGGTCGCGGCTGCCCGGCGCTGCAGCTGAGCCGGAGGCCCCCCCCGCCCCCGCCCGGTCCCCGCCCTCTGCTGTCCCCTCTCCCAGGGCTGGGCGGGAGCCGCCTGGTTCGCCGAGCCGCTGCAGCGCCCGCCCTTCGGCTCCTGCCACCGTGAACTTCAACAGGTTTGTGTCGGCGCGAGGACCCTCCGGGCCTGCCTTGGGGTGGTGGGCTGGAAGCCTCTCTCGTCATCACCCACCTCACGCCTTCGGTCCTCTTTTTTGGGGGGAGCCCTCCCTTTGTTTTTGTGATGAGAAAGGTGCCATCAAATCGGGGGGCAGAATGTGAGATCAGTACACAAACCGGGTCCATTATTTTTCCAGTCTAAATTCGGGCCAGATAGGAAGTGAGGAGAGGGCGAGCGTGGGGGTGCTTCGGCTGGGGAGAAAAATGCATTCGGTGGGGTTTTTTGGTGGGGATGGTTTTTTGGCAAGATGGATGGCTCACGGCGTCCTCGCCGTGATGCAGCACAATGCAGCACTGTCGCGGCCGCCCCTGCTTCTCGCTGGCGGGGCTTGGCGCGGCCACTCGGTGCCTGCGGCCCCCGCCCGGCCCCACCCAGGCCCGGGCTGCGTCCACCTTGGCTTGCTGCTTCGGCTGGATGTGGCGTCAGGACCAGGTCATCTAGGTGTCAGGGGGAGAGAGTCTACCCTTTCGGGGTGATCCCCTCCCGCCTCGTCTGTTGGGCTGTGCTCGGAGGTAGGGGCGCCCTGCGGCGCTAACGCGGGCAAAGGGAGCGGGGCCTGCGGCTGCGGACCTGAATCCGATCCTGGACCTAGGGACCCGAGCCTTAGGGAGGGGCAGCAGGAAGGACGAGCCGAGTGGTGTGTGCGGAGGCAATGGTGCGGCAGTCGGGAGTCGCGGCGTCTTTTTGTGGATCACCCATAATCTGTAAACACAACCCTGCTATGCATCGGCTTTTTCATATGCGCAAAGTTGGTGTTTGTTAGCTGGACCTTCACGGCTATCACATTTTAGTACCTCGTCTGTCTTTGGTCAGTACTAGGCATTTTTCCTATAGAAAACCTTTTTTTAGAAAATGAAATGAGCAATATATTTTCGTTCTTATGTCTCTGAGACATTTAAAAAAATATTCGTGGTCAATAGCTTGTTCTAAAGGGGGTATACGTATATTCTGCCGGATCGTAAATGATTCCTTCAATCTGTGTTTGCTTTGTTTTGATCGTTTGCTTTTTCTGTAAAACAAGTACAATTTACATGTTTGGATTCTTTATTAATGGTAAATTGGTATTCAGAGTTCTGCTGATTTAGACAACCAAGGCAAGTCTCTTGGCACGGCTAGTGGGAATATGATGGCGAGGCACTGCATTTATGGTTTTGAGGGTTTTTTTTTTTTGGATACATATTTTTTCTGAATGTGGCTGGGGAGAAGGTTGAGAAAGGCAGACCACCAAGGCCTCTGTGGCTGGTTATCTGTCTGCTCAGAAGGATATGGCTCCTAATGTTCTGAGTACACATGAATTTCCCTTCTAAATGCCACTTCTGTAATTCACTTATTCCAAGTAGGATGGCAAAATGGGAGACGTTGCAGATGTCAAGCCATGTTCTTCTAAAATGTGTAAGTGAAAAGGGAAATTTCATTATGCTAGCTGGAAGAGAAGGTCAGTGTTTCAAAGCCAAGGGCGTGTCTACTTTAACTTTTTTAATCTCTAATGAATTCATGCTAGTGGCATCTGATTTTGTGGCTCTGCGGAATAGAACTAACGATAAGCTGTGTGGCTTACATGCAGTTTTTTTTAGTTTCTCTAATAGAGGGCTGTTAAAATATGGAACTTTTATGGATTTATGCTTCTTCATTGTGCTGGTTGTATAAAATTGCACTGCATGAAGATGTTTGCGAGTGTTGTTTCCATGGATGATCCAGATATTTAGGACTGTGTTGTAAGACATATCCTGTGTTGATGTCACAGGAGGTTTAGCTGTTCTGGTTTACACACCAGGTGCAGAATTCTGCTAGGTCTGTAACCCTGTGGCTCTCTGGAGTGACAAAAACCTTCATCTGAGCGGATGAGAAGTGTTGGGGCAGTGAAGGAACTGCTGTCACTTGGTCATCTCCTGGCTTTCTGAGCATCTCGAGGGCGAGACTAGTACCAACTGTCTATGATGTTAAAGGAGCAAGTGGGAAGACCTCACTCTGTCTTTGTGACAGATCCTGAGTACAGACATTGGCAGTTGCCTGGGAGAGTTTGTGTGAGTGGTTACTTTGTCTTGATGTAAGAAAGTATGACTTTATATGTGGAAGTACTGTTTTAAGATGGAATGATTTTACTACTACTAAACAAACATCGGAGCCCTGGTGGCACAGTGGTTAAGAGCTTGGCTGCTAACCAAAAGGTCAGCAGTTCAAATCCGCGAGCTGCTCCTTGGAAACCCTATGGGGCAGTTCTACTCTGGCCTGTAGGGTCGCTATGAGTTGGTGTTGACTCAACGGCAACATTTTTTTTTTTTTGAAACAAACATTTGGAGCCCTGGTGGCGCAGTGGTTAAGAGCTCAGGCTGCTAACCAAAAGGCCGGCCGTTCGAATCCACCGGCTGCTCCTTGGAAACCCCATGGAGCAGTTCTACTCTGTCTTCTAGGCTCACTGTGAGATAGGATCGACTCAACAGCGGTAGGTTTGGTTTGGTTTTGGTTAAACAAACATTCAGTATTCTTGAATATTGAATGTTTGTTTAGAATATTTGGAAAAGAATATTGAATATACCATGGATGGCCAGAAGAACGAAGAAGTCTGTCTTGGAAGAAGTACAGCCAGAACGCGCCTTAGAAGCAATGATGGTGAGACTTTGTCTCACATACATGAGACGTTATCAGGAGGGACCAGTCCCTGGAGAAGGACATCATGCTCGGTAAAGTAGAGGGTCAGTGAAAGAGAGGAAGACCCTTAATGAGATGGATTGACACAGTGGCTGCAACAGTGGGCTCAAGCATGACAGCGATTGTGAGGATGGCGCAGGACCGGGCAGTGTTTCGTTCTGTTGTGCGCGGGGTCGCTATGCGTCGCAACCCACTGGATGGCACCTGACAACAACCAACAAACATGGACTTAATGCGTGGAAGTCATTCGATGTGTTTTTTGTTGAAATAATTTTAAGGTTTTCATTTAAAGAGTGTATTCTTAGAATTTTAGAGCCCCCCGCCCCTTTTTTTTGCATGCAGTGATGTGATGCTCCTTTAATTACACTGGGTTCTGACCAACATCTGTGTTATAATCGGGCTTTAATTAATGTTCTGTGGGTTTTCTCGTGGTAGCCCTGCCCTGGTTTCTTCCTGTGAGACTGTTGGGAGTGTAAACTGTTCTTGCATAACGAAAGGGCTTTTACCCCTGCCGAAACAGCCACTTCTGTATCAGTCTGTGGAGGTGAGTAAAGCGTCTTATGGATTTTTCTTCCAAGTGTTTGTTTTTTCTCAAAGCGCTGTTTCTTTTCAAAAGACCTCACTCAGTCCTCTGATGTTTCTGGTAAAAATCGTCTTCCATCTGAGTTTATGTAGTGTAGCGATAACATCATCAATCCTTTTTCTGCTTTGGTATGGGTAAAACTAACTTGTCCCAAGGACATGTGCTCGTATTTCTATTTTTAAACATTTCTGGAAGAGACATTTTCACATTGTCCCTTGACGCTCATTGTGAGGTTTGTGGACCACCAGCATCAGCAACACCTGGGAGCTTCTTAAAAATGCAGATTCTCAGGCCCCACCCCCGACCTACCTAATAAGAATCTGCATTTTAACAAGACCCTCAAAGTGATTTGTGTTTCAAATTGAATTGAGAAACACTGCTGTACTTCTTCAGGTAGGAGACCTCAGTATCAAAATGGGTTGTTATATCTTCGTTCAGTCTTTTGCTGACGTAACTTGTCTTTTTTTTTTTTTCCGGAAGTAACTGGGTGGTAGAGAAGATCATGCACTCACTGTAAATTTATTTTATACAGAATTACTTTATTAAGCCCTTCTTTAATCTTTAGGTAGAAGAGTTCTGTTTACTATAGTTTATTTCAATTAATCACTTTTGTAGGTTCTTTTCTAAAACATCTCTAAGGTGGAAAAACGTTTCCTCCTCAGGGAAGAAGGCATTGACTTTGAGCCAGAAGAGCTACAACCCAGGAAGCTAGACCCCTGAGCTTGGGGTCCCCTCTGTGCCTTTTGCCTCCTTCGGCGTCATCGGCTTTCTCCTGGTATATTCATTGTCCTTGCCTTCCAGTCCACTCTTTTTTTTTTTTTTTAAACTGTGGTGAAAATATGCACATCAAAACATTCGCCAAAACAACAACTTCCACATTTACAATTCAGTGACATTGATTACATTTTTCACGTCGTACTACTATTATCTCTGGCTATCCTTTTCCAAAATATTCCACCACCATTGACATAAACTCAATGCTCCATCCTTTCTTCTTTTAAAAGTTGTATTTATTAAGTAAGTAGTAGATTCAGATAATATTTACAAAGTCTGTGTTAAAGAATCACAAAACAGTGGGCATTCATGCAGTTACCACCTAGGTCAAGAAGACCTATCATACACTTCAGAGTTTTCTGTGTATCCCTCCATAATCCTGTCCAAAACAACCACTGTCTGGAATTTTGTGTTTATCGTTCCCTTGCTCTTCTCTTTGGTTTATCCTTTTTAAAAATCTTACTTAATTTTGCATGTTTTTGAACTTTCCGTATATGAAATCACACTTTATGTAGTTTTTTGTGACTTGCGTTTTTAAGATTAACATTATGTTCTTGATAGTCATTCATTTTCTTGCCGTAGTTTGTTCATTTTTTTCACTGCGGAATAATATTCTACCACAGCTTATTTATTAGTTCTTCTGTAGATGGAGATTTGGATCAATTCCAGTTTTTTGCTGTTATAAAAGGGCTGCTGTGAATGGTTCTTGTACGTGTCTCCTGGTACATATGTGGAAATGCATACCCCTGCTCCCCTCCCCCACTCTCTCTCTCTTTCTTTTTCTCTAAGAAATGAAATTTGCTGGATTGTAGGGTCTGTGCATCTTCAACCTTACTAGATAGTACCAAACTGTTTTTAAATGTGGTTCTACCAATTTGTATTTCCACTTAAAAAAAAAAACCAAAACCGTTGCCATCAAGTCAATTCCAACTCATAGTGACTATAGGACAGAGTAGAACTGCCCCATAGGGTTTCCAAGGAGTGGCTAGGGGATTCCAGCTGCCAGCCTTTTGGTTAGCAGCCAAGCCCTTAACCAGTGTACCACCAGGGCTCCATGTATTCCCACTGGCAATGTATAAATGTTACAGTTGTTCTGCAACCTTACTAGAACTTTGTTTACCAGGCTTGAAAGTGTTGTACAGTCAGTATTTGTAAAATGTTATTTCATTGTGCTTTTTATTTGCAATTTCCCGGATTACTAAAGTTAAATATCGTTTTAATATTATTGACCATTTGGGTTCCTTCTTTTGGGAAGTGCCTGTTCAGCCTTTTGCCCATTTTTATTTTGGACTTTTTTTTCTTATTGATTTATAGGAGTTCTTTATGTACGTTGTATACTAATCTCTTGAGGATTATGTGTGTTGCAAAAATTGTCTCCCAGTTTGTGAGTTTTAAAAAACAATTTGTATTTTCTTTTAATAAACAATCACTTGTAATATTAGTAGTGTCATAATCAGTTTTTTTTTTCCCCTTAAGGTTTATGCAGATGATTGATATTGCAGAAAAAATTTCCTTAGTTTGAAAAGAACCTGGGTATTGGCGTCAGACAGGTCTGGGTTCAAATCCTAATGCTGTAGTATAC